AGGCCAGTTGATAAAGTTGGACTTGCTGTCATAATGACAGTTGTAACCGTTAAAAGATGGTGAAAGTGTTAAGGGGAGGGGTAGGGATAGCAGAGGTCATAAATGGAAGGGATGGAAGAAGGTAATGTTTTTTATTTTTTTTGGTGGGGGGGGGGGGGCAGGCGGTCGCGTACGGAGGGGTTGAGAGGGTGGCCCAGCACCGGCCGACACGTTCGCTCTCTCGGCCGCGTTTCGCCGTCGTCCTCGCGGCAGCCAGTCGCCGCGTACCGTTTGGGGGCCGCGCATGTGCATGCAGGAGAGGGGGGGGGGGGTCTCTATCGTGTATCTGTGCTGTGCGGTGCTGTGCCCTGCCCCCCTCGACCCGCGAGGTGTCGAGGGGGCCGCTCGGGGGCACGTGTGCTGGTGGGAGGGTTGATTCTCGCATGTCGTCGCCGCGGAGCCAGAGCCTGTGGCCTTATTCTAAGTCGCCTTACATCAGAGATAAAAAGTCTCCGGAAACAGGTAAAGACTAAAGTATGACCTACTCTATCGCCCACCCGCGCCGGGAAACATCGCGGGGCACTGATGAGTCGAGAGTGCGCGAAGCGCGTCCAGCGCCCCCAGCCCGGACGAGCCAACGTGGTTGCCGCGGAGCAGGAGCGAGAGCAGCTCCTCCGCGCACGCGCCCCGCGCGGCTCCGGGGACGCTGCCGGCGGCAGTCGCCACCAGCTCGGCCGCGGCGTCTCGCTCCGCAGGTGTGAGGCGGGGGGCGGACAGCAGCAGCAGGGCGCGGTTGAGGCGGTGGGTGAGGTGCCGGCTCTCGCGAAGCCACTCCCTGCAGGCCAGAGCGGGCACGGGCAGGGCGCGCCCGCTCTCGAGCTGGAAGCCGTAGAACCCGCACAGGCTGCCGAGCGCGGCTGCAGGCGCAGAGAGCCGCAGCGGCACGCTCGCAGCGAGGCGCTTCTCCAGCCACGCGACGAGCGAGCCAGCGGCGCGCGCGCGCTCGAGTGCGGCGGCGAGCGTGGCCGCGCCGGGCTGGCGGCACGCCTCAGACAGGAGTCGCACGCTCTCGCAGAAGAAGCGCCACGCCGCGGCCTCCTCCTCCATCTCGCTGTGGTGCGGCGGCGAGGAGGAGAGCGCGACGCTCGCCCGCACAGCGCGCGGCACGAGGCGGGAGTGCTCGCCTTCGACGAGGTATAGCCGAGGTACAGCCGAGACGTAGCAGATACAGCCGAGATACAGCCGAG